GAAGAAGAAGAAGAAGAAGAAGAAGAAGAAAATAAATAAGCAAAAATAGAAGAAAGTATTCTGAAAAGAAAAGAAAAAGCATAAAATAATAATAGAACCAAAATACAAACTAACGATAAAAGATGATGAAAAAAAAGACGAAAATAAGCAAAGAATAAGACATGAAATGACAAGAAAATAAGAAATAATGGAAGAACAAATAAAGTCGAAAAAATAAAAGAACTCACTAATGCCAGTAATATGAAAATGGATCGCAGTGACCAAGAAAAGCATCAGTGACGACAAATGCTGTAATAATAATAATAATAATAATAATAATAATAATAATAATAATAATAATAATAAATACAAGAAGGAAGAGAAATGGAAAAATAAAACTCACAGCATTGTATTCACATGATAGTAACAAAGAGTCAGAGACATGGTTACGTAGAAGACACCTATCATACGATAAAGAATCCCGACTTTTCTCATGACTTTTCCAATGCAGTGTTGCTTACACGAGAAGCGTACTGCAGAGTAACCGAAATAAATTTAGGGGCAGGTGAGGAGGCTTTTCACAAAGGTCATTTGGCGACATATATTTATGAGGTTACAATGCAATCGGAGAAGAGCAGGGAATATCCCGAAATGTTATGAAGAAGTAGAAGAAAATAATATATATATATATATATATATATATATATATATATATAAAGTATTTCTCAATATCGTATGAAACAGGAAAAAGAAACAGCAGCATGGAATTATTTCGAGAGGGATTTATTTTAATCTTGACTATATTTTTCTAATAAGGATATATTCTCATATCTTCTAAAATAGCTCCAACGACTTCTAACTTGTGCAATAAATTCCTTTTAATATTTCTTTTCTATTTTTATAAGATCTGTTTAATTTGTTTGTCAATATATATATATATATATATATATATAACTTGACCCAAATAAATGAACAAAGCGACTTCCGGTAAAAAAAATAACCGGAAATAATAGAATACCCACAATGCACCACTAACCCCGTATATATATAAATAGCTGAGAAAAATAACAGCACACGAGGCCTGACGATTGCATATATATGAAACAGACTGTCGCCTCTAAGTGTTGACTTCTATGTTCACTTTTTATATTTACACACTCTATCTCTGATATTGGAGCACTTTATCCCATAAATATATCCCTTAAACTATATTTTACTTCTTTTTATATATATATATATATATATATATATATATATATATATATATATATATATATATATATATATATATCGTAAAAAAAAAGGAAGAACAGTAAGGATATCTAATCCGGTGTTCTTATTGATATATCTATTTTTACAAAACAGTGCTCAATGTAAATTAACTGATTTAAAAATATGGTTTCATCGCTACACAAGAATTACCATGTGTCAAAAACAGAAAATAAACCTTCAAATTCAATTATACTAAATTAAAAGCATTAGTTCTGTTTCATCTTCAAGCGAAATTTGGAATATCTTACTTTAAAATTTATTGAGTTTTAAAAGCACCCACAAATCTCAACAGAATGCAGAAAGCACTGGACGGCTGTTTCGTCCTATATGTGTGACTCATCAACAGTGCGCATCCACTGAGAATTGAAACCCGCACAGTCACTTTGACAGGCAAACGTCATACCAACTGTACTAACAGGCAGGGGTGACGAAGCGGTAGTGAACTAGACTCGATATTGCGCCTCTCGTTCGCGTATTCCGTGGTGGTCTCTTCTTGACTCGATGAATTATTTAATTATCTCAAATCCTCCTTAATTTCTATCATTTGTATATCCTTGCTTGAACCGGCTTCTAATGCTCTGGATGGAGCGGCTTGGTGATGGTTATCGTGGCTCTCGGAAGCACAGTCCTATGGGTAAAGGAAAACTTGGATGAGTTCCACCACGGAATTTGTGAACGACCGGCGCAATATCGAGTCTAGTTCGTTAACTCTTCTACCGTCCTGTTAGTACAGTTAGTGTGAGGTTTGCCTGTCAATATAGCTGCCCGGGCTTCAATTATCATTAGTGGATGCGCACTGCTGATGAGTCCAAATATAAGACGAAACGGCCGTACAGTGCTTTCTGTTGAGGTTTCTTCTAGACTCTATTAATATATATATATATATATATATATATATATATATATATATATATATATATATATATATATATATATATATATATATATATATATATATATATATATATATATATATATATATATATATATATATATATATATATATATATATATATAGGGTGTTTAAAAAATTTGATATCCTTTGAGATGTAAATATCACAGAAAGTACATGATTAAGGCAAATGAAATTAAAAAGTATTAATGTTGAAGATCATAAATTTATTCTTCCAAATCTGAATGAGAAATTCAAAAGCATGTGGATTATGTGAACGATTTCAACAAATGTGAAGTTTGTGGTCGTCCGATCCTTTTTGCTCTGCACAGACAGCCTTCCTCTTTGAATTTTTAT